GATACATTATGTCATTGGATACTCATGTCATAAAATGGTTTAAGGGCATAGTATGATCTCTAGAGAGGAGCCAGCACCAGACTGGGGCATGCAGACAGACAGGAGAAAACACAGAATAAAATAGTTGGGATGTCCAACAGTATATGGCTGCAGTGAGTACTCTGCCTGTATGCCAGTTTCTATTTGTTGAACTGATTTATCTGCCATTCAGGTTGCTTCTCTTCTTGTCTCCTCATGTCTGTTTGTATCTGTCTGTCTCTTTACCAGACTTTACCTGACTGTCTTTGCCCTCCTGCCTCCATACAATATCTTTAAAGTTGTTCCTTCACAACAGTCAGCTTTTGAAATGGCTGAATTGTATATTTTTACCGATATATGGCAACGTTAATAATGTCAGGATAATCATCTGCTCCCAAAATGCAAAATTACCTCATGTGTGAATAATGTAACCTGGAGCTGTTCTTTGTGTAGTCACAGCATCTTTCTGATATTTTAGAATTCAGCTATATACCCACGAATAATGAATGGTCAAAAGAGAAAAATCAAAGGACACTTTTCAAAAGAAAAGTAACAAAAAAAAAATATAAAAGTGTTGAGTGTCTTCTTGCAGAGAGAGATGAAGGAGAAACCAAAAGTTGTTTGGTCAGATATGGTTATAATAAATATGATATATATGAGAAGCATATTGTTTGGAGGACAGTTTCACATCAACTCTCGATTACATTTGACAACTTGATTGAACTCATGCTGTAATGTCTCGACAGATACAGTATGTCAGCTTGTCTGTTTGTCTATCTTTAGTTGACCCTGTAGGGAAACACATTTCTTTTGCTCTTCCAGGTCAGTGGTCAGGGTCACCTTTGAACTGATAGGACTTCATTATTATGAATACATGATAAGTATTGTGCTTTGCTGAAAGATATACATTTTAAACATTTACATTTTTCTTGAGAATATGTGTTTTATTTCATATACTTACCCAAAATGAGACAATGTCATAGGTTTAGATTTTAAGTTTAATAGTTTAATCTAATTTATTTGTTGATGTGAAATTAGTAACTTAGTAACTAGATCTGGTATGTACAAGGTCTACTTTTGTTAGACCATCTATCATTCTTTAGATACATTTAAAGGTGCATTGCCCTGCTTAAGCAAAGTTGCAAATCAGCCCACAGACATCTCACAACTGAGCTATGCTAGGCTAAGCCATTTAGCATAAGGCCTGTATTTGGATTTCAGGTGGTATTTTGTTGGGTACTGGAGTGACTGAAAGATTAATGCAAAGAGAAAATAAACCAAAAAGATGCGATGCCCCCTTTTTCCACCATAGGAATTAGTCTGGGTTATAATAATATATTTTGCCCTCAGCCCTTTCTGCCAAAGAGGGTTATATTCTCATGGCTACCTTTTTTTAAGTGTAACCTTACATTTTTGTCAGAAGAGTTGCTCTACAGCTGACATTTTACACTGTGTAAGGACACTGTAATCATTTGGACAATTTGAGCCTTCTGAACACCATTCTTGTAGCATTCCTTAGTGAGGTTTTTTTCAGTATGTGTGGCAAACGGGTGCCGTAGTAAAGGGTGACAAGGTTGGTCCGTCATTTTCTCAAGCCTTTCATTGTATCAAGCTTAGCCAAAGACACACACCACAATCCTCGTTACACACTACTTAATGCTATTGTTCACCATTAATAGGGAGACATCTATTTATGCAGGGATGACAGAAAGAGAGAGACACACACAGAGAGAAAGAGAGAACGAGAGAGATAATGGATGAACGAACAACAGAAAGAGACAAAAGAATACACGAAACAGAGACAGAGAGAGAAAGAAAGATGACAGAAAAGAGGTAAAAATTATAATCCTCCCTCCCCACCCCTTTCCCTGGGAAGTGACAGCCACAGTGATGTATAACCCTGGCAGTGGAAAGTTAATTAGATAGGCTGGGTTACTTAGAGATGAAGGACTGAGAGGCTGAGAAGGAGAGGAGGGGGGAGGAGGATGAGAAGAAGATGAAGAAGAGGAAAGTAAATAAAAACAAACAAACAAAAACAACTAAAGGAGGATGAGAAAGGGAAGAAAGTAGAAAATAAGGGACAAGGGAGAGATGTGAGAGAAGAAGGGACATGGTAAGGGGTAGAGGGGAAGTTTAAATAAGAAGCAAAGGGCCTTGTTAAAATTATTTTTTGCCTTTACACTCAGTTTAACAGTAAAATCATACAGCCATAACAATACGATAGACACAAACACCACGATGTAAGAAGGGCACCATGGGTAACAACATAAATGATTAAAACAGCCTCAGTTTCTCTCTGGCACCCAATGTGCTCGGCTCTGCTGAGCAGGTGATTGGATGTCTGCCCTCCATCAAAAAACTGCATGACACAGACCAAAAGAAAAGGATAAAAACAAATGGCATCAGACCTGCAAACTTAGCCAACTATCTGCCCCCAGAAATGTTTCACTGGAACCTCAGCCAGACTAGCTTTGGGATTTCAGTACTTTTGGACTCTCCAGAACTCAGTGGTTCTCAAACTGTGGGGCAGGGCCCACTGGTGGATCATAGAGCCACTGCAGGGGCGGCATTGATGACCAAGGGTGAAAATATGGAGTCAAACTAAGTTGAATGAATATGATTTATGCAAGGAAAATAAACAAACAACAATTTGCCGATCATGGTGACCATTACTTCACTAACCGTGTATCCTTTTTTATGAGTTATTATTATTTCTTTTTTATTATTTAGTTACTTCCTTTCTCATTGTTATGTGACAACATTTGGGGCAGTGTGGCGTGAAATTTTTTCAGACCCCGAAGGAGGGCAAACTTTTCTCAAAATAAGTAATCTGTACCTTTAAATTATAAATTCATTCATCCATTTATTTGTTTTCTAGACACTTTATCCTGTTCGGGGTTGCAGTGAGCAGGAGTCATACACTAGGTTAGAAGCAGGTCACCAATCTATCACAGGCCTAACACATATAGACAAGCAGTCACATTCACACTTTATGCACATGTGACGATACACCTGGAGGAAACCCATGCAACCACACAGAGAACCATGGAGAGCTAAACTGGCCTGCAGTAATACCCAAAATAACAGATCATTCTCTCAGATTACTAAATTGTATGTTCAAATACTTACTTTGTTTCCTCAATTTAGTAATCTGTCCCCATTGAAAGTATTCTCTCAAATTAATAGTCAAATTAATTGCCTTCCCTAGTTTTTGATAGATCCTCTTACCATTTCAGCAGTCAGTTGTTTTGGTTTTACTCAAGTGATAAGGAAGGTTTTGCATCAGACATTAAGCCAATAGTAAATAACATCTGTATAAGACCTTAACTTAAATGTGGGACTATAGGTTTACTAATGCTAAAACACGTTGTCGCCTAAAAAAAACAAAAAAAACTATCCACCTGACATATTATTGGTACGATATGCAATAAAAACATAGTCCAGGCAGAGTCACCAAGAGTTTTCTTTTTTTCTTTCAAAATAGGGTATTTTTTACTATTTTGTAACATTTACCTCTTCATAGTTGAAATAACAATGACACAAAATACTTTTACTTGAGGCAGACATTTTTGTACTATTTTGAGGCCTAGTCATGTAGTATTTGTCTAGACATACACAGCCTACAATGCATTATGTGCTCTCTCCACAGCTGTAGTACACTGTATGGCACTCTGCCTGGCTGCACATATTAATTATATATTTGAAAATACCACCATCTATTATATATCTGACATTCTCCCTTATTATTTTGTTACCAATATGCCAAAGCTGTCCCAAGAGTTTGGTGACCTCCATGTGCTTAATTTAACTCAGACCCTCTAGTGTCTGGTCACATGGATACAGTTGTCTACTTTTCAAAAGTAAGGCACATTGGAAAGAAACAAAATAAGGAAATGAGAGGGAGGAAGAAAGGAGAAGAAAAGAAAAGCAGAAGGAGAAAAAGAAAAGAAGAGAATAAAACATATTGTGATACAGGAGAGGAAATGAGAAATGAGTTTAGAAGAGGAGCATCAAACTTTTACTGTTCTTATCGCAGACTTATATTATCTGTGTGTGTGTGTGTGTGTGTGTGTGTGTGTATGTGTGTGCGTTTTGGGCTGTGTATGAGAATGTGACTGTGTGTATTTGTGATAGAGGACTCGTGTGTGTGTGTGTGTGTGTGTGTGTGTGTGTGTGTGTGTGTGTGTGTGTGCATCAGCCTGCCATGTTGCATGTCCACTGGAGCATAGTGTGTCATTAACTCAGTAATTAACAGAAGAATGGCCCCCTCTCGTTCGTCGCACTCACTGTCATTGTCATTCACACACAAAAACATGCACACACACACACACACACACACACACACACACACACGGATAATGGCTAAGTCTGCTTTGGTGCTCACGCAACGTGGCAGGCTGCTATGCAAAGAGCTTGACAGTGAGATAGCAGGCTAACAATGATATACACATATACAAATACACACACAGAGCAGCAGCAACTGACAGGGAACCTCATCAAACCAGCTTTAATGAAGTCACTTCTCCCAAACAGAAGAGGGGAAGAAAGGAGGGATGAGAGGAGGAGGGGAGAAAAGGAGGACAAGGTCGCCTGGATTGATGACGCTCATTAGCCTAATAAGGTACTTTAATGAAGCGGGCCCAACACTATAGAGTGCCACAGAGTCTATAGACACACACACACACACACACACACACACACACACACACACACACCTGACTGGTTTTATACTTTGTGTTGTCCCTTCCATTTACACATGAACATAGCTATTTTTGTCAGTTTCTCTCTTCTGTCTATTTCTCTTAATAACAAATACCCACACACTCCACAACACAGACAGATACACATATACAGGCTAGTATTCTCCAACATACCAAAACATACTCATCACTTCATTCTCACAGACATTTTCATATAGAAACACACACACATACACACACCTACACAGACACACACAAACAAAAATATGGAAACACACTCACCTCTCCTTCTGAAGACTGCAACAGGAGGTCTTTCCTACAGGATGCTGTAAAGTCTCCCACTCCAGCATTGACCTCCACCCCTCTGGGGGCCTCCAGGGTCAGGGTTCGAGTCGGGGACTCCAGCCTGGGAAGCATAAACGCCCTTTAGTCACACACTATTTACTGTGGAAACAAAGGAATCACACACCCGCAGTGACATACAGTACAACCCTCTAGTGTTACATGAAGTTAAACATTGAACGGCATGTTGTCTCTTGAACACACAATTTAAAAGTAAAGAACAAATTAGTAAGTGCTGTTTTTCATTGTTACATTGTACCTTTTTGTACCTTTCCTAAACCTGTTGGATTTAGATGGTTTAAGAGGAGCACATTTGCTATCTGTCACAATGACTGCAGCTTCTACAACAATCAAATCTCTTAAAATGACAAACATTTATTTATAACATTTTAACTTTGGATAGAAAAGGTATCACCACTGCCATGTTCTTAAGGAAGGTTTCTTTTCAACTTTTCAACTTTAAGTAATTGGTGAATTGTTTTCGGTGCCCTTTTAAAAAACCTTGTTTGGACAGACTTCTTTCTATGGTCTGAGGAACATGAAGTCATGAAGTTATTGTAACATTGCTTGTGTATTACTGTTCTGTGTTGTATAAAAGGACAGTTTTTAGTCCAAGCAGTTTTTTGGTTATTGTTAGGGTTAGGGTAAAGGGTATGAAAATCCATTTAAAACATCCTTGTAAAGACTCAGATTATTGCAAATTATTAAAGTATTGCACAAATCATTTTGAGGTACCTAACGCTGCATAGCCAATATTTGGTTGCCCATAGAGTGACCTAATACATCCTACTTTTTTCAAGAACTACTGAGTTTTTTGGGGGGTTTCTAATCATTTTACTATGTAGTAACTCTTTCCTTTGTCTTTCAGAAAACCTACAAGAACAAATATGAAGAACTGTTACTGCTCTAAAGTGCTCTGGCCATGGTCGGAGTCACTCCCCTTGGAGCGTGAAGGGTCAGTAGCTAAGTCTGTGACTCAAAGTTGAAAACAACATGAGATGATTAAACAGCTTGGTGGTGTTAGATAAGCACAGTGCTTCGCTCAAGGGCATGTTGGCAAGTGAAATTAAATAAAGAGAGATTTCGGCAAAGTGGACAGAATTACAATTTATGAGTATAACAAATTAAGCAGCGCTCTCACAACAAAAGTCAAATAAGAAAAAAAATGCTTTGCTATAAGGGCACTTTTCCAGACAAGGGTTGCTCAAGGGCACTTCAGAAGGTTGGTTTCCCAATCCCTGCTGAGAGGTTGAAGGGATAACGCATTCAAGCCAAAGGGTAGATTAACAGAACTCAGGACGTGTGTCCAGTTTGTGGCCAAACAACAGAGACATAAACAAGCATCAGTGCCTTGGCCAAAGGCACTTTGGCTGGCAGTTATCGTACCGAGCTTCCTCTGTTAATGCCCTTCCCTTCACTAGAGTCCCCAGGTTGGAGAAAATGTATATTCTCCTCACAAGCCTTTTGGTGTGGAATAATTCTACATTTCAGGGTTGCAATCTAAAGAACTAAACATTAGCAGACAGAGAAAAGCTCCCTTGACAGTGGTTTTCCATGTTTGGTTGCACCCGAGTAATGAACAGGCACTTTAAAATATATTTCTGTTTCTACATTGCTCCTTTTCTGCTGCTTTTATTTTCAGTGTATGTGCTTCATTAGTTGGTTGTTTTATCTGATTGTAAAAGCGACTCACCTTGAGAAGCCATTGAGTTGAGTACTTATATACATCTTTTTAGACAAAAAGAACATCAACTTATTGAGTTCATTTCAAATGCAGATTCAACAGATTTATTATTCTCTTTCATTAAGTTGTAATAGGCTGAAGTAGAGCAGAACACTAGTGTCAAGATGTCACTTGATTTAAGAAAATGCTTAAAACACACTGGTTTGCATTACAGTTAAGTCATCTCACCCCACTAATTTGCTCCTCGTATTTGAATGAAAATGGAAGTTTATTAGTCCGTATCAGACTTAATGACTTATGATGTGCCCTGTACTTTGTTTGGAGAAATGGAAAGCTATTAGAAGAAACTGCCCAAGTTTCAACAAAGCTTACTTTGTTATCTTCAGGCTTTTACCAGCATATAAAAAGTCTCCAGATTTGTGTCTCATAAGAGAATAAAAGAACTCCAGCCAATTGACATTTTCATATATATATTTTTTTAATTTAATGGTTTATTAAGACCTCTATGAATTAAACTCCTTCCTCGGTCAACATGTCTGAGTTTGCTGTTTGTCAGAGCTAACTGTGGTATTTATTCCGGGTTGAAGGTAAGGGTATTGGAGGAGTAGAAGAGTCATGAGGTGGATTAAAGGTGAGGGAAGGTTTGCTGCTGTGCAGTGCTGAGTATCCAAGTGATATAATAAGTTTTGGAAGCAGACACTTCACATTGGGCCTGACTTATTGATCTGTAAAAAGAGTGTATGCTGCAGCACTCAGAGGTGAAGAAGAAGAGAAACAAAGAGAGAGACAGACAACCACACAGACAGACAAATATTAAAAGAAAGGTGCAGGGAATGAAAACAAAACAACTTATCCTATTATTCATTATCCTAAAGTTTTGCATGTGCAATGGTGAGAGAGAGGGAGAGTGAGAGAGGGAGAGAGAGATAGAGAGCTTGCTGGCCTAGTCAACAGCAGTGATGTGAGGATCTTTGGCTGGTTTGACAGCTGAGGCAATTACAGTGACGCTGCTGCAGGCTTAAACCTGCTCTGATGGACAGGCACACACATACATACTGACTATCTTTCACTCTATGTCTGGACCCTCTTTCTCCTTCTCAACACCACACTCCCTGTTTGCTATCGCCTTTGTTTTAACTCACCTGTCGGTTCCCTTCACAAACATGCCATCCATTACTTTACCTCAGTTTTTCCTCAGTTTAAAATTGCCCATAAAGAGTCATAATGTAGCGTATCTGTACATTTGTAAGGTGGAAAACTCATATCTCCAGGATGTCAACTACTCATTTACACAATTTGACCACCACAAACTTTTTAAAATTTTCTTTGGCATAAAGATTTTAACACTCAAGGGATAATGTAATGCAAGCAGCATGAGGAAGCGAAGGCAAACATAGGAGTGTCTGAGTAGGAGATACTGTAATGAAAAAAAAAATATTAAAAAATAAAAATAACTTGTATGATAATGTCTGTAATCCTTAAACTGTAAGAACAAATCAGTTCTGTCACTGTCAGTAGTTGGAAACAGAAAACCTCAGAAAATGCTGCTTTGTGATGCATTATTTTGAGTATTACCAGGATGGATGGGTTTTATAATAAAATTGCCATGAACATTGATTAACAGCTGAAAAATTGGGTTTGAGGTTTCATACAAGTTTCAACTTGATTAACTTTGTATAATTTATGTGTTGGAGGAGAGTCTGGAGGCCAGTGTTAATGCTGTATATTTTATTGCTGTTCTTTGAATGATGATGTTCTTAATTTATGAATGTGTCCTGTGCTCACTTGAGGTATCAGCATTCTCATATGGGCTTTGGGATTACTTGTTAAATTGCGAGTTTGAGGAAAATAATGACTTAAAAACAAGGAAGGGATGGCCAGTATGTCATTCCTACCACCAGTGATCATTGTTGGAAACTAGTGCTGTCAAACGATTAAAATATTTAATCACGATTAATCGCATTAATGTCATAGTTAACTCGCAATTAATCGCACATTTTTATCTAGTCTAAATGTCCCTTGATTTCTTTTTGTCCCATTATTTTTTCTCATTTTAATGCTCTTATCAACATGGAAAAGTGGATCGGCTTACTTTGTGCAAATGTTTTTTTTTTTATTGAAAACAACATTGGCATATACTGTATTGTTCAATTTCACACTAACATTCTCACTTGGAGCAAATAATCTCTCACACAATGTAACACTGTCCATCAATCAAAGGGTGAAAAAAATACTTTGTCCCACAAACAGCTCCTTCAACAGGCCTTTCTAAGGGATCAAAACAGGGCGATACAAAATAAAATTACAAAGTGCACATGTAAGGTAAACTTGGATTCAGCCTACAGTGCAGTTAAACCATGGCTTAATACTTTTCTCAAGTTTTCTTTGAACATAGCAGTCAGGCTACTGCTCTTTATTCATCAGAGGCTCAACCCAGCCTCTTATTTCAGAAAGAATGAACAGTAACGGTTACCAATAAAAGGTAAGCCTACTACTTCTTTGCTTTGAGCCAGTTACTCAAACAGACAAGCCTGTTGATGGCATCCATTTCGGCATCTTGCGCTCGCCATCCACTCAAAACGTAACTTCTACTACTTCTGTGCGGCGTGCCTGTTGTTTTGTTTCCGGTCTAGCTAGATCCGATGTGGTGTTGTAGTTTTTCTAATGTTACTAGTTGTTGCAACAGCATGTGAAAAAAACTACAAAGTGTGCTAGGCCAAAAAGGACGTTAATCTCACAATAAAAAAATTGAGGGCGTTAAAATGGGTTTGTTAATAGCGCGTTTAACTGACAGAACTATTGGAAACATTTGGGATAATATAAATACAAAACTTAACAAAATATATAACATATATTTAGCATGCTAGTGATGAGTTTAGAGTGAAATGCCCACAAAGCCGCTAGCATGGCTGCTAGCACACATGCTTGTACACAAAGATGCTCATATCTTCGTGGTCTCCACTGAACTGAGGATCATATCTTGTGACTATCAAATATAAAAGTAAAACATATGATTCATGACTGTAGTTAACTGTCGGTTATGCTCAGTCAAATGCTAAGTCTCACGTCTACTGTCTTTGTAAGTCACTCTGTAACACACATACACAACCGTGTGTACACACAAAAAGCCATAACGTTTCTGGTCAGGCCCTCGCGTGGTTGTGTTTTTTCATGGTGCAGATAGCAGGATTCTGCAGCTAGGCTGTTATCTTTGCAATTCATTATTATTAGAGAAAACTGTCTCCTTTCCCTCTCTGCCTCCAATTCTTACATTATTCCTCCCTTTCTCTCTCGCTCTCTCACGCCAACAATCCCCAGGCCCCCTCCTCTCTCTCATAGATCTGTTTTGACCTTCAGTCGCGACAAGGCCATTTTATACA